ATGAGTGATTTTTTTTTTTTTTTTTTGCTGTTAATTGAAAATGTGTTCAGCGAACACGAACAAATAGCTGAAGGGGAGCGTAGCCTGAAGTTCTGATGGTGCACTCATTCATGGCTTTAAATAATAAACAGGCTTTTGCACGCTTTCGCATTGTTTTCCATATTGTTCCAAATGTATGCTGATTGTAATTGTGCGTTACGCGCAAACGCTTTTGTATTCAATTTATTTGCAAATTTGCACGAAATTCTATAAAAATAAACACATTGTTGCCAGCGTGTTGGGGCAACGGCACGCATAAAGTCAAATATATTTAAATACATTAAACAGCTTTTCCTTTTTCCTTCTTCCTGTTTTTCCTGTTTTTTTTTTTTTTTTAATTATGCTCTTGGGCGCGTGTGTGTTTGTTTGTGCTTTGTGTGAAAATAATTTATAAAACACGTGCTCATTTAATTCTAACAAAAATGAGTGCTAAAAATAATTAGCATATTTAATGGCATTTTCATGATAATTGAAGTTGAGTTTTATGATTTATTCAGTATTTACATTTGTTCGATGCGTATTAACACTTTTGTTTATTTATTACGCATTTTTAAGCCCCAATGCAAAGTATCTAAAATTTATTACCCATTTTTTTTAATGCCTGTCGATTAATCAGCTGCATATCAACTGCTTAATAATTATTATTGTAATATTTTAGAGACAAAGTAAACAATTTGATGCCGGAATTTGCAGTTGCATACTTTAAGCAAATATTTTAACTATTTAACAAAAGTAAGCATTTTATTTGAAAAGCTTGCAACATTTCTTCTGGTAGTTCTTGCATATTTTATAATTATGTGCGATCCGAACTTGTAACGAATTTACCGCAGAAAATTAACATACCGAAAGTTGTTGAAATAAATAACTGTAAATTGATGCACATTTGTTTATTATTTTAACCGTAAAACAACCTTAAAAGCTGAAGCATTGCCTTAATCGTTGCAATTAAAATGCATGAAAATGGAAAAAACCGCAAAATGCCAAATGCCAAATGCAAAATTTGGAATGTAAAATGCATTTTCATGCAATTTTTTTTGAGTTTACTAAACAAACACTTTAAAACGAATGTTAAATATTGAATGTCATTGCAAAAACAATTTCATTACTACAATTTTATGCAAGCTAATGGCCGTCACATTCCAAAATGGCGCTGCATCCGGAGACAAAATGGCGAATGCAACGCGTAGCGAGAAGCGGGCAGCGTGACCTTGTACAAAATATAACGGCAATAATAAATGGTCCTTCAGTTCTTGCTTAGTTCTTCTACTCCTCTCGCGGAACAACACATGCTGACAGAATCTTCAGCGTTTCCTCACGAAAAAAAAAGAAGAAGCTCGTAAACAGGATGCCAATACTCTGCCGAGAGAAGTCCTTTCGTGACTCTTAGACTGTAAATACAATGACTGTCAAACTTCAAAAATGGATATGGACTTTTTAGAAGAGGCGTTGGCGAGGCGAGATTATAAGAGTCCAAGTTTAACGGCAAGAGACTCTTCTCGCTTTGTGAACAGAGTATACAAAAAAACTTTAAAAAATAGCAGACTTTTAAAAGTTTAGGACCAAACACTAACAAGAGTTTTTAGCTATATTCCACCCTTTAGAACAAATAAGTATATACCCTAGGTAACCACACCTCGAGCATAACCCATTTATGCCTTCAAAGCAGGGCATGTGAAATGCGAAATTGGCTCAAATTGACAGTTCGAATTGCAGTTGAAACGTTAACGAAACGTTTGAAAGTTAAGAAAGAAATCAGTTATTCTTTCTTACTTCAGGTTTTTAGCCATGAACTTTTTCTATCGCTTATGACATTGCCGAGCTTTAAAAACTTTGCCAACTCTTTTACAACGTGAAAAAATCGCAAACTATTTGCGACTTATCGCCGGCAGAAAAAATGGGCCATTGAATAAATATCAAAAGCAAATGGCCATAAATATTTTCTGATCGGCTTTTCATTTCTCTTTTTTTCTATTCTTTGCCGCTTTTTTTTTTGTTGGCAGCCACAATTTTTTTTTTTTATGGTATCTTGCACATGGCGCACAAAAATACTTATTTTTAGAGAGATGCGAGACACGTTAAAATCATTTATGCCGCTTAAAAAGCCACAAATGTCGACTGGTAACCCGGCCAGACCGGGACACTGCTGACAGCCGAGCCGCGTGGATTTTTGTTTTGCAAAGGGATTTGCACGGCTGTAAAGCGGGAGCTGAAAATTGCGAGCACAATACTCGTACATAACGTATAACGCGTAACGTATAACGTATACGCCGCGTATTCTTTTACGACGATAGAAAACGCGACGCGCAGCTTTACGATGCCCGCATCATTTGATTTTATTGCAAATGGGCCGAAGAGCGGCGGCTCGCGAGTGTCAAAAGGGAGACAGAATGAAGCAGAAATCATCAAGAAAACCAAAAACATAGGTGTCCTAGTCGAAAAGTGATCGACTGGGAGTACCCTGTAAAGAGCTTCAACTTTATCCTCGATATTTATCGTTTTCAAGAGAGAAAACAAGGTGAAAATTCTCAACTGGGGATACCCTGTAAGCAGCTTCGAACTAGCAAAAACTGCACAATTTACTTTTTATGTTTATCGTTTCAAAAGGGGAGGCATGAAGCAGAAATCATAAAGGCAATCAAGTCGAAAGTGCTCGACTGGGGATACCCTGTAAATAGCTTCGAACTTGCGCAACTTAATCCTCAATATTTATCGTTTCTTAAAGAAGTGAGTTATCAATTATTAATACGCTTTCATATATAGAAAAAGACAAACAAGTAGATGAAGCTGTATCCTTAAAAAAATACCAACTCATATAAGCCTCAATTCCCTACATGCGTTAGAACAACTTCATAATAAATTTGCAATGTGTACAGGGTATTAAAGGGGAGCAAGAGTTTTTGACGTGCGGTGGCGTATGAGCAACGTGGCCATGTCCTTGAGCCAGTTGCGCCCTTTGTTTGTGATTAATGCGATGATTCCGACAATGCCGTGAATGCAGCGATGCGCAGCACGTCAAATGCAAATAACCGGCGGGCTGTATATAATCAAATCGAAATGGTAACAACATCAAAGTTTATGACAACGGAAACTGCATGCAATGAAACAAAACAGAGAGCAGCCCCAAGGGCTCCAATAGGTGCGTATGTGTGTGCGTGTGTGTGTGTGTGTGTGTGTGTGTGTGTGTGTTTGTGCGTATGCCAAGGCCAGACAAATCAATTAAATTATGGAATTCCTATGCAGTTGGTCCCCAGGTCGCCCAGGTGCACATCTTCAACATCTTTTTCTGATGTAAAGCTCAGCAAATACTTGCACATTTTCGCATTTTATTGTTATTTTCTATTTGCCGCCGGACAGGACAGACCGTCTGACAGCCGGAACAGACCAGACATACCAACACTTGGACAGGTTATTTCTATTGAGTTTTCAAATTTGCAAAAATTTTCCATACTTCGGCATGTCTCACATTTGCATATGACAAATATGCATGTAGCAGTGAAATGCATTTGCAGTCTGGATGTGTGAATAATGTTCCAAATAGTGATTTGTTGTGGGAAAAGAAATCCACCAGAAAGTGAATAAACATCTTACACTATCAAAATAAACCATATGATAAAGTCGTTTTGAATTATTTATATGACAAAAACTGGTAGAACAAAAAAGGAAACTTGAGTAAAAGCCAAAGAATCAATTTTTATATTGATCTGTGCAATGGGAAGTATAAGTATAAGTATAAGTATAAGTATAAGTATAAGTATAAGTATAAGTATAAGTATAAGTATAAGTATAAGTATAAGTATAAGTATAAGTATAAGTATAAGTATAAGTATAAGTATAAGTATAAGTATAAGTATAAGTATAAGTATAAGTATAAGTATAAGTATAAGTATAAGTATAAGTATAAGTATAAGTATAAGTATAAGTATAAGTATAAGTATAAGTATAAGTATAAGTATAAGTATAAGTATAAGTATAAGTATAAGTATAAGTATAAGTATAAGTATAAGTATAAGTATAAGTATAAGTATAAGTATAAGTATAAGTATAAGTATAAGTATAAGTATAAGTATAAGTATAAGTATAAGTATAAGTATAAGTATAAGTATACGCATAGGTATGCATATATATAATTTTAGGTATACGTATAAGTATATATATATGTATAAGTATATATATAAATGCTAGCTTAAACTTTTTTACTTTTCTTATTTATTTCATTTTTTTACTCACCAACTCCATTCCTTGCCGGCAGATGAAAAATTTAGGTATGTATGTGTGTAGGTTTGTATGTATGTATTTTTGTTAGAAGTTTAGCTTGGAGCTCCGCTTGGCATTCATATGTATGTGTGCGCCTTTGTAGGTATCTTCATCAGAAGCTTAGCTTTCATCTTTACTTGGCACTACAAATAATCACATCTAACACGCGGGTATTTATTTAGCAGCGGGAACATAGGTTTAACTATTTGCACTTAGTAATAATACTTTTTCACTCAATTAACAATTGCACACAGAAACTTCCGCGGATTTTGACATTTACTGTTACTTAGCGGTTCTTTCTATCGATAGTGTGTGGCGGCCGCACAATAACCGATAGCTCCGATCGATAGACATATAGTTACAAAAAGAAAGTACTTGGCTACAAATATCGATAGCAAAACAACTGCGCCATATAAAAATACTAGAGTGCACAGCAATATAAACAAAATAATACATTCAATTAATTTTGACATCTGCAAGTAAAAACCATTTATATCATTTAATTGTCAAATACAATTCAAAAATTGATATCATTCTACTTTTTTGTGCAATGTTTACCATTAGTATTGCTGATAAATTAATCAAAAATTTACTGCCACGTAAATTTATGAAATGTGCATTTTTAAATATCAATATAATATTGTATATTTCGTCTTATTATAAAAAAAAGTACAATTAAACTATGTTTAGATGCAAATTGAAATCAAACGATATATTCAAATCAAACGCATTTTTTCGCGCCATCTGTTGAGCGCGAGCAGCTGTTTGCGAATCAACCCTGTTTTTGACCTGTTTCGAGCGTTTTGCTTATTTGTAATCAAATCGAAGTGTATTATATCCTGCAAATTAGTATTAAGTAGCGACAACCATGTCCGTCTGCACGGCTGCCGAGATAGCTGAGAAGCGACGCATTGCACTGGCCAAGCTGCAGGCGAAAAAGGCCCAAGCGCCGGCCATAAAACCCTCAACAAGTGTCAGCGAGCAGCTGGGCGCCAAGTCGGCAATCAACTTCTACAGATCCCCGCCACAAAGCAATGCACCCAAAGGCCCAACTGTTGCCAGTAAGAACAACAACAACGGCCAGAACAAGAGCTCCTCGTTTTTGAACGCGCTCAAAGCCATCAAGTCAACAAGTGCGCGGGAACTGGGCCGCGCAGCTGCGCATCCGTATCTCAAGCCCAAGCTGCAGCTCAGTCCGGATAAACAGCAGCCGTTGGCTGCTGTGTTTGTGAAATCCATCAACTGCCGCATCTATATGATCAGCGCCCAGCGCTTCGCTGTGACCGCCTCGGGCTACCATGAGAAGCTCATCGAAGTGTTCAAGAATATGCCAAGCAAATGCTATGACAGCCAGACACGCAACTGGGATTTCGATCTGAAGGATTATCAGCTGCTGCAGCAGCATGTAGGCGATCTCAAGCCACACGTGCTCATTGGCACCATTCCCAAGAAGATCATTGAATTGTGCCAACAGCCGCTGAAGCCGCTGGAGCGCAGTGTCTTGGCTTCCATTGACCCGTCGCTGGCGCAGAAGCTGATGCCCTTTCAGGAGGAGGGCGTCTGGTGAGTGGCATCGCATGTGGTTGGCCACGCTCTATTAATACCTTCTCTTGCAGTTTCGCCATTGCGCAGCAGGGCCGCGTCATGATCTGCGATGAAATGGGCCTGGGCAAGACATATCAGGCGCTCGCCGTGGCCGACTACTTCAAGGATGATTGGCCCCTGCTTATATGCACAACGGCCAGCACACGGGATGCCTGGGCCATGCACATTACGGAGCTGTTGCCATCCGTGTCCGTGCACTGCATTCAGGTGCTGACCAACAATCAGGTGTACCTGACCGATGCCAAGATCCTCATCACCAGCTACAACATGATGGAGCGCTACATGGACAAGCTGCTGCAGCGCAAGTTCGGCTTTGTCATCTACGACGAGTCGCACACGCTCAAGAACGGCAAGGCCAAGTGCACGGCGGTGGCCAAGCGTCTGGCGGATCAGGCCCGACGTGTCATCCTGTTGTCCGGCACGCCCGCATTGTCGCGTCCGCTTGAGCTCTTCACGCAGCTGCAGCTGGTGGACAGCCGCTTCATGAACTTCATGGAGTTCAGTAAGAACTACGCTGGAGATATATATATACAAATCAGTTTGTCACATATTTATATTCCAGCCTCGCGCTATTGCGACGGCAAGCAGACGCACTTTGGCTGGGATGCGAATGGCCAATCGAACCTGGAAGAGCTGAGGGTGATTTTAATGCTCAAATACATGCTTAGGCGCACCAAGGCCGAGGTGCTGCCGCAAATGGCCGAGAAGAATCGGTACGTTAATGCAATTCTTATTAATTCCGACTACCTTTTGATATATTTGTCTGCGCAGTGAAACGGTGGTGCTTGATCCGGCGCTGGTTTGGTCCAATGACGATGCGAAGACCACCTGCCATGAGCTCAACAGCGAGCTGCAGAAGGCCAAGGGCAAGTCGCGCGAGGAGCTGCTGTTGCGCTTCTATGCGCGCACAGCCGAGGTCAAAACGCGCGCCGTCTGGTAAATATTCAAGGCCCAAGGCTGGCTCTTGGTAAATCTAAACCCTTCTCTTGCCACGCAGCGCCTATCTGAAGAGCTTGGTTAAGGAGCCGATCAAATTCATCATTTTTGCGCATCATCGCGTCATGATGGATGCCATTAGCGATTGCCTAAATGAGCTGAGGATCTCGTTCATACGCATCGATGGCCAGACGCGCAGCGACTTGAGAGCCGCCTACGTGGACACCTTCCAAAAGAAGAGCAGCTGCAAAGCGGCGGTGCTGTCTCTTAAATCCTGCAATGCGGGCATTACGCTGACCGCCGCTGAAATGATTGTGTTCGCGGAGCTCGACTGGAATCCCAGCGTATGTCTGAGACCATATATATATTCCTATATTCTTTTCTCACGTTTTGTATTCCTGCAGACTCTGGCGCAGGCCGAGAGTCGCGCCCACCGCATTGGCCAGACAAAGCCCGTCGTGTGTCGTTATCTGATGGCCAATCAAACGGCGGATGATACCATTTGGAATATGCTGCGCAACAAGCAGGAAGTGCTCAGCAAAGTGGGCGTCTTTGCGGAGAATCTGCAGCATGCCACGCACACAGCCGCGCCCACGACGGTAAAATTAGTAGCTCCCATTAAAATCCAGTTGAAATCTGTTTAATTTTGCTTGACCTACTCGTTGCAGTCGCGAAAAATTGAAGAGTTCTTCTCACCAGGCAAGGAGCAACACTTTGCCCCGGCGCCGGCGCCGGCCAGCGTTAAGGAGCAGCACATTGTGGATACAGCAAAGGATATAGCCGCCTTTTTCAACGAGGAAGATGATGATGCATTTAGGGATTTGGTTTTTTGATCGTTTAGTTATAGCTCAAATATATTTTGTTAGGTTTTCTTATTGTAATTGTACGAATAAATTAAGCTTCATTTCAATTTAATAAGAATGTTCAAGCTGAAGAGAGAAACAGTTGTCTAGATCTAAGCTACAAATTTTGTCAATGAAAAATCCTTGTTTTATGAAGAATTTAAAGCATTGATGGATTCTTGAGCAGCCTCAAGAGTTGAGGCGATTTAGCCATGTTTCATATCATATATATATATATACATACTATATTATTATTATTTTTTATTTTATTGATGGCTCTGGCGACCTTTCCATATTTCAATATTTATTTGTTGGCAACCAAAACAGTAGGGATCGAGCAATACTGGACACAGTGGAACAGACACGAAAATTACTGAAAGAAAATATAAATATTAAAATTCTATCGTCGGATAAGGGCAACAAAACCGTAGCAATGGATGAGGATGAATATAAAAATAAAATGACAAATATTTTAGACGACTTATGCGCGTATAGAACATTGAGACTAGATCCGACATCAAGACTACAGACAAAGAATAACACCTTCGTAGCACAATTATTCAAGATGGGTCTTATTTCAAAGGACGAAAGAAATAAGATGACTACAACAACAGCGGTACCTCCGAGGATATATGGACTACCAAAAATACACAAGGAAGGAACTCCACTGAGACCAATATGTTCTTCCATAGGATCTCCATCTTACGGGCTGTGCAAATATATAATACAAATATTAAAAAATCTGACAATGGACTCTAGGTACAACATCAAGAACGCGGTAGATTTTAAAGACAGAGTCAACAACTCCCAGATTAGAGAAGAGGAAACATTAGTATCTTTTGACGTAGTATCCTTATTTCCCAGCATACCAATAGAATTAGCACTTGACACAATAAGACAAAAATGGACCAAATTAGAAGAGCACACGAATATACCGAAACAACTATTTATGGACATAGTTAGATTTTGCATACAGGAAAACAGATATTTCAAATACGAAGACAAAATATACACACAACTTAAGGGAATGCCAATGGGATCACCGGCTTCCCCAGTAATCGCAGATATATTAATGGAGGAACTGTTGGACAAGATTACAGATAAATTAAAAATAAAACCAAGACTCTTGACCAAATATGTAGATGACCTTTTTGCCATAACGAACAAAATAGACGTGGAAAATATTCTAAAAGAATTGAATTCCTTCCACAAACAGATAAAATTTACAATGGAATTAGAAAAGGACGGGAAATTACCATTTTTAGACTCTATTGTAAGCAGAATGGACAACACACTCAAAATAAAGTGGTATAGGAAACCCATAGCCTCCGGACGAATACTCAACTTCAATTCAAACCACCCAAAGAGTATGATAATCAATACAGCACTAGGCTGTATGAATAGAATGATGAAAATATCGGACACAATATACCACAAAGAAATTGAACATGAAATCAAAGAACTTTTGACCAAAAATGACTTCCCCCCAAATATAATCAAAACATTATTAAAAAGACGACAAATCGAAAGAAAAAAGCCAACAGAACCTGCTAAAATATACAAATCACTAATATATGTACCACGACTATCAGAACGCCTCACAAACTCAGACTGTTATAACAAACAAGATATAAAAGTAGCACACAAACCGACGAATACATTACAAAAATTCTTCAACAAGATAAAGTCGAAAATCCCGATGATCGAAAAAAGCAACGTCGTTTACCAAATACCATGTGGCGGGGATAACAACAACAAGTGCAATAGTGTCTACATAGGTACAACAAAATCGAAGCTAAAAACAAGGATTAGTCAACATAAATCGGACTTCAAACTAAGACATCAAAATAATATACAGAAAACAGCACTTATGACCCATTGTATAAGAAGCAACCACACACCAAATTTTGATGAAACAACAATCTTACAACAAGAACAACACTATAACAAGCGACACACATTGGAAATGCTACACATAATTAACACACCAACCTACAAACGACTAAACTACAAGACAGACACAGAAAATTGCGCTCACTTGTACAGACACCTCTTAAACAGTCAAACAACCTCAGTAACAATCTCCACGTCAAAAAGCGCAGACGTGTAAAATAATGTATGTAAAATGTTCGAAATAATGTTTAATTTATTGTATTATAATTGTTAATTGTTTTTTGTATCTTGGTGTTAGTGCCCTGAAGACGGTTTGCCGATGTGCAACCGAAATATATCGGAAGAGAATTGAATAAAATTGTTTTTCATTGTTTGTTTTAACAAACACGGACCTCGAGCCAGCCAACAAATAAATATTGAAATATGGAAAGGTCGCCAGAGCCATCAATAAATATCAACGGAAGGCACGCCGTATGCACAGCAACCAACATGAGCTACGCAAAAATAAAAACTAAATACAAGGATTCGAAAAGAACAATTAATAAATTCCAACTAACACTGGTAAAATTAACTAAACTTAAATCTAGTTTAAAATTTTTGTTAAAATGTAGAAAATCAAATTTAATACCTAACTTCATCAAAAACTTGACACAGCATTTGACCATACTGACCACTGACAATAAAACCCACCCTGACATAACAAGAACATTGACTAGACACACACATTTTTACCATACCAAAATATTAAACTTACTTATAAAACACAAACACAACCTATTACAAGAACAAACAAAACATATGGAAAAAGCAAAAACAAACATAGAACAACTGATGACCACAGATGACGCAAAAGCGTTTTTTGAGAGCGAGAGAAATATAGAAAACAAAATAACAACAACACTCAAGAAAAGACAAGAAACGAAACACGATAAGTTACGAGATCAACGGAACCTAGCCTTAGCGGATAACAACACGCAAAGAGAGTGGTTTGTAAACAAAACAAAAATAGAATTCCCGCCAAACGTCGTAGCGTTACTCGCAAAAGGGCCGAAGTTCGCTCTCCCAATCAGCAAGAGAGATTTTCCTCTCTTGAAATACATCGCAGACGGTGAGGAGCTAGTGCAAACAATAAAAGAAAAGGAAACACAAGAGTCGGCGCGCACAAAATTCTCTTTGTTAGTCAAAGAGCATAAAACCAAGAACAACCAAAACAGTAGGGATCGAGCAATACTGGACACAGTGGAACAGACACGAAAATTACTGAAAGAAAATATAAATATTAAAATTCTATCGTCGGATAAGGGCAACAAAACCGTAGCAATGGATGAGGATGAATATAAAAATAAAATGACAAATATTTTAGACGACTTATGCGCGTATAGAACATTGAGACTAGATCCGACATCAAGACTACAGACAAAGAATAACACCTTCGTAGCACAATTATTCAAGATGGGTCTTATTTCAAAGGACGAAAGAAATAAGATGACTACAACAACAGCGGTACCTCCGAGGATATATGGACTACCAAAAATACACAAGGAAGGAACTCCACTGAGACCAATATGTTCTTCCATAGGATCTCCATCTTACGGGCTGTGCAAATATATAATACAAATATTAAAAAATCTGACAATGGACTCTAGGTACAACATCAAGAACGCGGTAGATTTTAAAGACAGAGTCAACAACTCCCAGATTAGAGAAGAGGAAACATTAGTATCTTTTGACGTAGTATCCTTATTTCCCAGCATACCAATAGAATTAGCACTTGACACAATAAGACAAAAATGGACCAAATTAGAAGAGCACACGAATATACCGAAACAACTATTTATGGACATAGTTAGATTTTGCATACAGGAAAACAGATATTTCAAATACGAAGACAAAATATACACACAACTTAAGGGAATGCCAATGGGATCACCGGCTTCCCCAGTAATCGCAGATATATTAATGGAGGAACTGTTGGACAAGATTACAGATAAATTAAAAATAAAACCAAGACTCTTGACCAAATATGTAGATGACCTTTTTGCCATAACGAACAAAATAGACGTGGAAAATATTCTAAAAGAATTGAATTCCTTCCACAAACAGATAAAATTTACAATGGAATTAGAAAAGGACGGGAAATTACCATTTTTAGACTCTATTGTAAGCAGAATGGACAACACACTCAAAATAAAGTGGTATAGGAAACCCATAGCCTCCGGACGAATACTCAACTTCAATTCAAACCACCCAAAGAGTATGATAATCAATACAGCACTAGGCTGTATGAATAGAATGATGAAAATATCGGACACAATATACCACAAAGAAATTGAACATGAAATCAAAGAACTTTTGACCAAAAATGACTTCCCCCCAAATATAATCAAAACATTATTAAAAAGACGACAAATCGAAAGAAAAAAGCCAACAGAACCTGCTAAAATATACAAATCACTAATATATGTACCACGACTATCAGAACGCCTCACAAACTCAGACTGTTATAACAAACAAGATATAAAAGTAGCACACAAACCGACGAATACATTACAAAAATTCTTCAACAAGATAAAGTCGAAAATCCCGATGATCGAAAAAAGCAACGTCGTTTACCAAATACCATGTGGCGGGGATAACAACAACAAGTGCAATAGTGTCTACATAGGTACAACAAAATCGAAGCTAAAAACAAGGATTAGTCAACATAAATCGGACTTCAAACTAAGACATCAAAATAATATACAGAAAACAGCACTTATGACCCATTGTATAAGAAGCAACCACACACCAAATTTTGATGAAACAACAATCTTACAACAAGAACAACACTATAACAAGCGACACACATTGGAAATGCTACACATAATTAACACACCAACCTACAAACGACTAAACTACAAGACAGACACAGAAAATTGCGCTCACTTGTACAGACACCTCTTAAACAGTCAAACAACCTCAGTAACAATCTCCACGTCAAAAAGCGCAGACGTGTAAAATAATGTATGTAAAATGTTCGAAATAATGTTTAATTTATTGTATTATAATTGTTAATTGTTTTTTGTATCTTGGTGTTAGTGCCCTGAAGACGGTTTGCCGATGTGCAACCGAAATATATCGGAAGAGAATTGAATAAAATTGTTTTTCATTGTTTGTTTTAACAAACACGGACCTCGAGCCAGCCAACAAATAAATATTTTTTATTTTATTTTCTATATAATATAGCTTTTACAGGCACAATCGATTGGCATGTAAGTTTTTGTTGAAGTCTTTTATTGTCTAACTAAAGAAATATATATGAAAAATCTTCAATATTTCAGATATGCTAACTTTGCGCATGCCCCGCGGACAAACCGAATCTATTTGTGACTAAATGAGTACGTAAGTGCCTTGGCAACGGATTCAAACATTAGTCGAGAAAACTTTTTGAATTGACTCAAAACAATATAAGATAAATAAATAAACAGAGAGGCATGGATAGCTCAATGGGCGATGTGGTCGAGTTAGTGGCCGCCGAGGGCGAGGAGGAGGATCTGCTCGACGATGACTACAATGTGTCCTTTATGACAGACATCCTCAGCCTGGAGTAGGTGCATATGCCATCATCTACACTGTACATAAATATATTTTTGAGTATTCCCGCAGACACTCGTTTGGATACGATTGCAAGCGTCTGTTCAATCTGGTGCTGGCTGACAATGATACCCTGATCTTTGCCTCCGGCAATTTTCTGCACTACTTTAGCATATCGAGGCGCGAGGTCAGCTTCCGGCCGACCGTCTTTGGCTGTGGCGTTGGCTTCATAACGGTGCGTAGCTGAGATATGAAATATCGACAATTTCCACGCACAACCTTTTGCAGAAAAACGAGCTGCCCGAGTTTAAGAATCTGTTCACCGTCGGCGAGAACGGACCCAATCCGACCATCTTCATTTATGAGTATCCCTCGCACGATGTTCGCATCAAGCTGACAAATGCGGCCAAGAGCTGCTTTACCGCCGGCTCATACAATTCGAGCGGCGAGCTGTTCGCCTCCCAGGCTGGCTATCCGGACTTTATTATCACGATTTGGCGCTGGGAATGCGCCGAGGTGGTGCTGCGCGCCAAATCCTTTCAGAGCAACATACTATTCGTGCACTTCTCGGAGCACAATCCCATACTGTTGTGCTCCTCCGGCCTGAGTCACATCAAGTTCTGGAAAATGGCCAACACATTCACGGGCCTGAAGCTAAAGGGGGATCTGGGACGCTTTGGCAAGACGGACTTCAGCGATATCTATGCGATGTACATGCTGCCCGACGAGAATGTCATCTCCGGCTGCGAATGGGGCAACATGCTGGTGTGGGAGGCTGGTCTCATCAAGTTTGAGGTGTGCCGCAAGGGCCGAAAACCCTGCCATGCAAAGCCCATAACTCGCATCACCATGAAGAACGGCGAGGTGACCACCGTCGGCATGGATGGCTATGTGCGTGTCTGGTTTTGGGAGACCGTTGATCTGGCCGATCCGCCCGAGGACGATCTGTTTGTGGAAATCGATCCCATCTATGAGTTCAAGATATCCGAAGTCGAGCTGCGCGCCATGCAAAAGATTAAGGCCCACGACGAGTCGGATTTCGGATACTATGCGCAGGATGGCGGCGGCGGGATTTGGTTTTGCGACATCAATACCTACGATGTTCCGCGGCCGCCAAAGCAGCTCTATTCGTGCGTCGGTGGACGCGTCCTGACCGCCCAAATGTCGCCCATTTCTCCGCATCTGGTGGCTCTCTCCGAGACGGGTAAGATCTTTATCTACGAATACGAGCAGAAGAAGCTTATTCTGGAGAAACAATTTGCGGCCAACGGCGTGGACATCCTCTGGCTAGACACACAGATCTCCAGGCTCGGCACGGAGCTAATTGCCGGCTTCGAGGACGGCATACTGCGTCAGCTCTTCCTCGATCTCAGCGTGCCGTCCAAGGCGGAGGTGCATCTGGTACACGCCTACAAGGCGCACACGGCGCCCATCACGGGGATCAGCATGAATCGGGAATGCAGCCTGCTGATCAGCGGCTCGGCGGATCGCAGCATGTTCATCTATAAGCTAGGCAACGATGCGGAGCAGCTGGTGGAACTGCAGCCGCTCGGATTTGTCGAGCTGAAGGCGGTGCCCAGCTGCTTTTATTGGCACCTGGAGGAACCCGCCGTCGTTCTAATTGGCTGCAAGGGCGGCGAGGTCTATGAGTACAATATACGCACCGATGTCACCGAGAAGGAGACCTACCTCAGCTACAATCTGACGGATGCGGCACGAATGCGCAGCACGCGCTTCGTTTCGGTCAAGAGTCGCATTCGACGCGATCTGAAGCGTGAGAAGATCAAGAAGCGAAAGGAGAAGAAAAAGGAGCGCAAATTGCGCGAAATCGAGAAGCTAAAGCAGGCGAATCCGGGCCTGCAAATCGACATGGAAAGCGCCCTGGCCGACTCAGAGCCCGATGAGGAGGAGGAACCACTGCACATACCCAGCGTACCCAATCGCATCATCTGGTTGCGCTACACGAATCGCGACACGATCTGGCTCTCCATGGCCGGCTACGATGCCGGCTATATCTACGAGCTGGACTTTGAGAGCCCGGAGCCAAAGATCTGCACTTTGATAGCGGATGCCGATGACATCGAGATACACTCCTACTACATTGTGTAAGTCCCTGACTTCTGTGATCTCCCAGATGCTCTCTGATCGAACTTCTCTCCCTAGCGATGAGTATATTATATTTGGCATGATGAACGGCAGCCTGCGGATTAATCGCCTGAATGCCGAGGACTTTACGGATCTGGCCGACTATCGTAGCTATCCGATGCACGATTCCCTTAAGGGCGTTATACCCTGCATCGTCAGCAGCTACAATGGTGAGCATTTGGTCAGCGTTGGCCACGACGGCAATGTCTTTCTCTACAAGTGGGAGGGGCCGAAGGTGAAAAGAGAAGAGCTGAGGCCGCGACTGCCGGCGCTGCCCAGCCCGAGGGATGCTGGCGACATACTCGATCCGGAGACACCGTCGCTGGAGCAGGAGAAGATCAATGCAGAGCTGAGGCGGCAACAGGAGGCAGCCGAGGCGCATGATCGCGATGTCCTGGCCAAGATCGGAGCGCTGCAGAGCGTTTACTTTGACATAATCAAACGGAACGAGGAGCTGCCGCCAGGTCTACGCGTCGCACACAAGGATTTGCTGCTCGATGAGCGCATCACGCAACAAATCCGCGACGAGCTGCAGGCCGAGCTGGACGATGTGCGCGAAGACCTAGCCTACGATCTGGAGTTTGCCGAAGTCGGCCACAACAAGCTACTCAATCATTTCCTCCAAAAACTCGACCATGTGCCCTTCACCGTGACGCCGCTCTGGTGAGTCCCCTAAGATCCTCGTGCATTTCGAATGTATCTAAGATTGGACGTATCCAAATAGCGCCAACATCGATGCGGTATCCACGTTTCGCTTGGAGACCCTGGGCGAGGACTTTGAGCAAATCAAGCGCGACATCGAGGAGCGTCTCAAAATGGAACAGGACATGCGGTAAGCGTGCGAATTAGCTACTTAATTCCATACGTAATTGATACTAAAATACGTCTAAAAGCAAATCTTAATCATTTTTTCCCCGCCAACAAGCAGCAGAGAGAGCGACGAGCTTGTGCCAGAGCAGCCCGCAGTGTAAGCGTGTCCAGCCTAGTCCATTAACCAAATAATTAGTAATTAATTAATATTAGAAAAATAATATTTTGTTAGCATAACCCTAATATTGCACATAAGCTCGCCATTTAGATACTCTTATGATGATAATTTCTGGTTGTATTTCCTTTCTGTGTTTATACTTTTACTCCAATTCCTGGGGAAACCTTAGATGCACTTGGAGTTATTTTGTAGTTGAACTTGGTTTTATTTTAAATTTCCTTGAATAGCCCCACCTTCGCTGCCCGACTAGTCTTATACCCTTACAAGTCCATGCGCACATTTAACAATTCATATTCCTCAGGCTGACCGAGGTAATTGCCGACGAAGACAAGGAGGATCTGATGGGTGGCCCGCCGCCGGAGACGTTCTTCTTTGGACGTGATCCGATGAGCATAACGCCCAGATTTAGCAAGAAGATGATGCGCCTGCTGCTGCGTTATCGAAAGCGGCAGCTGTACGAGGTGCGCCGCATCTTTGACTGGGACAAGCTGGAGCGCCAGAAGCCCGATCCGAACCGCAATCATCCTGATGATGATGCACAGATTGCGCTCGCAATGCGCAGCCTTGGCGACTACAAGCTGAAGATTGGCGCGGACTACGAGCCGAAGACCTCGGAGAACCTGACGGCCAAGTATATTGAGATCGTTGAGTGCCGGGAGAGATACTTTGATATACTGGACTCGTACAACCAGCGCGTCATGATGCTGCGCGATCGCAAAAAGGAGCTCATGGAGTTCATACAGAAACGCCGCGAACGACTGGAGGTCATACATCAGTATCTGCCGGAGCTGAATCGCATACAGATACGAGAGATCAGGGAGATCGACATGGAAATGGAGTATCCAGAGCTAAATCTCATCGAGCACTGCTTGCCCGGCTGCGGTGTCAATGTGGATGATATACTCTATTTGGAAAACAGCGTCGAGGACGTGATTGCCGCCAGGCAGCCGCAGCCGACGCTGGACAACATTAGCCTGTACGAAATGGCCGCCCTTGATAGCCCCGAGCTGCACGAGGTTACGAAGTTCAAGGCGCTGCAGATCTCCAAACTGAAGTCGACGCTGCCGCAGGACGAAATGATCGAGTATATCAACAGCCTGCCACCGGTCACCGATCCGGCCTACTTTGAGGTGAACGAGGAGGGCGACTCGCCCATGATCATGGAGATGCGGCATCGCTGGCTGCGCCTTCTGGTCGTCGAGCAGCTGCACATCATGTCCGAGGTCGACGAGGAGATACGCCTATTCGATTTGGCCCTGGAGAAGATTCAGGCGCAGCGCTTCCATGTCAAAATGGACGCGGAATTCCTATCCTCCTACCTGATCACGCTCAACCAGGAGCTGTACATCTTGCGCGACAGCGAGGAGATCGAGTCGCAGCTGCTGCAGAACGCCAAGCAAGCGATGAGCATTCGGAATGAACTACAGATTGTGATCAATGCAACCAACCGGCAGCTGGAGGAATTGCGCAAGAGCATCGATAAAATCAATGAACAGATCGCCGGACTGCAGACGACATTCATGAACACGGTGAAGGGTCACAAGTTCTATGACTTTTTACGTCGCATCTTCAAAAAGAAATGGCGTCCGCCGAAGCGTGTCCGCGGCGATGACGAGGAATCCTCATCGTCCTCCTCCTCGTCATCGTCCAGCGAGGACGAGGGCGCCGATGCCCAGAGCGTCGACTCCCTCGACATGACAACCATACGCCTGGACGAGGCCACCTGCCCCACGGGTCTGGATCGCACCCTCTACGAATGGTCCTTCACCATGCGCGCCGATCGGCACGCTCTCGAGCGCACCCTCGCCGACTGCCATCGGGACGTGGAGCGCAAGCGACGGGAGATTGCCGAAATGCAGACCAAGATGAAGTACCACGAGGAGGTCTACCAGCGCGAGAAGAATACGCTGCTAGAGTTTCGGGTAGGTCGACAGGAATAATTCCTGCACTAATTTCTTTATTATCGATAACTGCAGCACATACTCAAAATTGATACATATCGCTTGCTGAAAGATAAATACATCGATACATATCGATTTCTGTGAGATTGATACATAGATGCATATCGATTTCTCTGAATGGATATTTTCATATCACGAAATTTAGCCTAGTCCTGTTTTATATACAACACGAATTTAATCCGAAAGCACACGCAGATCAAATTTTAAGAAATCGATAACAATCAAGATCGATATGTATCGATATCTGTGAGTGCTTTTATGACCATATTCAATTAAGGACTACGGACAGGAAAATTTCACTTTTTGGATATCTGTCTCTCTCACTCTCCTAAGGCAATTAATATTTAGAGATTATAGTTCCGCATAGGTCAAAATTTCCCAGCCCACCTAACTCGGTCAACAATTTTACGATTTTCTTAAGGTTTGCCTTATCGATCTGGCAAATAAATCTGTATACATTATTCCTGGTCAAAATATCGTATATAGACATAAGTCGAAATTTCCCTCTTCCGTATCTCGATCAAATCCCATCAGATTTTCCCAAGGTTCTCTAGATGAATTAAGCAATATTTTTGAATTGTGAATTTCATGTTAAATGGTACCCTTAAATATCCTATATAGACATGGCTCGAAATTTCCCACCCATTTATAAATATATATTTTCCTAATCCGATCTGCAGCGCAATAGACAACACGAGATCAACAAGGTGCAGATATCCACGATCTTGCGCATGGATCAGCTGCAGCATTTCTATGAGGGCGACGACTATCGCGACGTGTCCAAGGCCATACTCTTCGATGCGGATATCCTGATCGATCTGCGCCGGCGGGCGGAGAAGCTGCACGAGGAGACGCTGGCCACGCGGCGCTGGCATCGCATCAACTTTATTCATTTGCGTCGCATGAATCGGGACATCAAGTTCATGCGCTTCGAGATAACGCGGCTCGAGGAGGAGATCAAGCAGGCCATGATGAGGCGTTTCGGGCTGATCATCAATCTGGACGAGCTGGAGGAGGAGGTGCTGCGGCGCTACATATTTGAGCTGGAGACGACGGCAGAGGAGGAGCTGCGCGCACTCGAGAAGGAGCTGCGCGAGCGGCAGGTGGGTTTGAGTCAGAAAAGATGCTGATTCAGTCAGTATACAAAATCATGTTATCTTCACTAACAAGCAGTTAAGCTTAACCTGCATGTCAACGTGATCCTCACGACGAATCCTAACTATTTCACAAGCAGTTAAATAAACAACTTTTCTCCCAAGGACTTAACTGTTAGAAAGCAGCTAGATAGGTAAATTTGCATGTTATCTTCACTAACAAGCAGTTAAATTTAGTCTACATGTCAAAGTGATTCTCAAAACAAAGCTTTCTTATTTAACAAGCTGGTTCGTTTGTCAACATTTTTATCAACATGAGTTTTTAGTTGAAACTTCATTGAGTCCATGTCAAAGTGTTTGTCAAGATTAACAAAGGGATACGAGCTAATTGTTAAACAATTAACACTTCGTTAGTGTGAATTTCTTATTAGGCTAGGAGGTTAAATTTCACTTACCCCCTGTTAAAGTACTTGTCAAAATTAACAATCACTTGACAAAAGTTTTTAATATGGACCTTATCAGACTGAGAGTTATTTGTTGACACTCAGTTGAGCTGGTGTCAAAGTGCTTGTCAAGTTTAACGGGAACTACTCTCTACTCGGATTCAACGAATATTTGTTCACTTACCCCCTGTTAAAGTGCTTGTCAAAATTAGCAGCCACTTGACATGAGCTTTCCTTCATACTGAGCAATAATTCATCTAATAAATTGACACACAGTTAAGCGTGTGTCAAAGTGCTTGTCAAGATTAACGGGAACTCCGCGCTCTCATCGATTTTCTTCTCCTCCAGATTGAGCTTTCGCGTTGCGAGGAGGAGCTTGTCCAGGAGACACAAAACAACACGGAAAAGGTGAACATAAAGACGGTGCTGCTCGAGCAAAAGAACGTGCTGGACGTGCTGCTGGACAACCAGGAGCGCAACTACAGCAAATGGGCCAATCCGCAGGTGCTCAACCTGAGCTACGACATCGAGAAGCTGATGGGCATCGACAACCAGCTGCTGCAGCAGATCGAGGTGCGTAGCCCGAAACACTGTACCGCAGCCGAAACTAAACCATGTCCAACATCTCCAACAGTGCCTCGAGCGGGAGATCTGCACGCTGCGGCTCAAGGCCAAGCCGCTGCAGATCAACGAGCTGGTCCCGCCTCCGCCGGATGCCGTTCCCAGCGAGCTGCTGCCGCCGCTTGATGGCGAGACGGAGGTATGCCCGGCCATACTGAATGTGGACGCGTATATGCTGCCGCCCATGCCGGATGACTTCATCATGGACCGCGTGCACACGATTGTCACGAAGAGCTTCAATCAGTTTCTCGGCAGGCACACGACCGCCGAGAATGTGCGCAAATTTGCGCAGCGATCGGCGCTGTATCTGTGCCAGGCGGCGTACAGCTTTCAGGGCAGATACACGGATCGCATAGCCGAGTGCATCACGGAGCATCTGGAGAGCATTGTGCCCAAGAAGTATTTCATACACATACGGGCCGAGGATTTGCGCAAGCTCTTCAACGAGGTGGTCGCCGTCTTCGATTACGAGCGCTCCGATATAAACACCGAGGAGCTGATCTCCGGTATATTCGAGCATGCCAAGGATTCGCTGTGCGCGCGCGGCGTCTGCGAGGTGGTCAATCGCACCCAGTACATTGTGCTGCATATGTTCAAGGAGCTGATCGAGGTGCTGCCCCTCGAAGAGTTCCAGGCCGAGGAGACGCTGCGCATCATTGTCGATGTGCTGGAGCGCGAACCGATGTCGGATCCGCGCGCCATCAACGTCGAGGAGCTGATAACCAGCACACTGCGACACGCTCAGGAGAATCTGCTGGATGGCATCACGGCGCTGCCCATCCGCCAGCTGGGCAACGGCATCCAGCGGGAACTGCTCAAGCGGCGCCAATACAAGCCGCCCAATTGCCAATCGCCGCTGGCCGTGCGGATTGCCAGTAAAAAGCCGACACCGAACACGGGACTTCCGTTCTAGGCTAGACCTGGACATGGACTAATTTTATTTTATGCTGACTAATAAACATATAAAGCTTGAGAATGCATATATACTGGAATATGGGTTTGGCTTGGCGTCGGCGGCGGCGGCGGGGCTAATATATATATATATATATATTTATTTACTCTAGACGTCTCTTGACCGTGTTAATTTTGAGCGGCAACAGCTCGAGCATCTCGCGCACAACTCCGATCTCGCCGTGCAGCTGCTCGGCCGGTTCCTTGTGCAGTTCGCAGCCCTCGCTGAAACGCTTGTAGTAGACCAGACACTGATTCAGCTGCTCCAGCTGGTGCTGCGGATGGGCGCTTATCAGCTTGTAGTAGAGCCTACCGATATGGAAGTGCGCGTAGAGCATTGTGCGCAGCTCCTCGATGTCCATATTGGGTCGCCATTGCTGGCTGATTCCGCTTCCGCTGCTGCTCCCGGTGCTGCTGCTGCTGCTGCTGCTGCTGCTGTCTGCCAGATAGGACTTGACATAGTTCTCGAAATGTTTGATAGCCTTGAGACAGCTTTGGTTGACGCGTTTGATCTCATCCGGGGTGGGTGTCTGCTTGTGCTTCATGCTGTCGAGACGCACATCGAGCACGGCAGCATGGGCTGTGCCCGCCACGTACCAGCATTCGCGGCAGATCTTCAGATAGTGGCTGGGGTCGAGCAGCTCGAGCAAATCTTCCAAGTATTTGGCTCGACGCTTGTGCATCTTGGCCTGATTCTCCGGCAGCTCCTCGAAGAAGGCGATGTGCTCGTATGCCTCGGCATAGTCCTGTATTATCTTGGCATACTCGGTGGCCTCTGTCTCCGCCTTGTAGTAGTCCTTGGCCACGTCCAGCCACTCGTTGACAAAGTGAAAGACCAGCTTGGCGTCGTCAAAGGTCAAGCAATAATCGCAGCTGACGCGACTCTCGCAGGCGGTCAGATCCAGGTCGACGAAGCGATAGTCTTCGTCCATCAGCGACAACTGCTCGGCTGCACGGATCAGGCGCTGCGCCTCCTCCTCGTCGTCGCGCAGCAGCCGCTCCTTGGATGTCTGCAGCAGGAGCAACCCGTACTTGGCCCAGCAGCGTGCCACGTCCGCATAGCGATGCTTGAATGTCTCCACGACGTCCGAGCGCTGTTGCTCGCTCAGCTCCGGCTGCAGCATGTGCTCCTCGTACTCGGCCATGATGATCGTGGCTGCGGCCAGATGATGGCGCGCCTCTCGGAAGCGCTCCTGGCCAATGTAATACTGCGATAGCGTGGCCGTGTTCAATGCAAAGTCAACGGCATCGTAGGATTTGTGCTGCAGCTGGCGATGCAGCGTGCGATGGCAGCACTGGGCCGACTTTTCCGGCTCGCCCAAATGGCCGTACATCTGGGCCAGATAGAAGCAGCAGAGCGTATAGAGATTCTCCAGCTCCCTTTCGCCCTTGGCACCCTCCAGCTCATCGGGCGGATTATAGAGATCGGCCATGGTGAGCGCTGTCTGGCCGCTGACCTGGAACTCATCGTAGCCTTTGTCCGCCTGGAGCAGGAGTTCGACGGCGCGCTTATACTCCTGGCGAGAGGCCAGCACAATGCTCAGCTCATTGACGGCGCCCACATATGGTATAATACCCTCGGGCCGTAGCTTGTGCGGCTCGATTAGCTCCAGGCAACGGTTGAGCAGCTTTTCGCCCTCGGCAGGCTCCTCGGTGTAGATGTAGATGCGGCCCAGGTCGCGACAGGTGAAGGCAAGGGTTGCCTTGTACAGCAGCTCATCCTCGCTGCCGTCCTCCTCGGCTGCTTGCACGGAGATCAGCTGATCGTCGAGCTGCTTTTTTAAAACGAGGAGCACGTCGCGCGCTTTGTAGTGGGAGCGATAGGGATCTGTGGGCGGATCGGTGCGACTGTCTTGCTCGACTAGTTGGCTAGATTTCTCGAACACCTCCTTGAAGTCGCTAAGCACTTCCTTTGGAATAACCATATTGTTTGTATTTGAAGCTATTTAATTTCGAAAATTTTCAATTTTTTTTTCTTACGACTTGTGTCATATTTTTTTAATACCTATTCAGCTAAATTGTGGTGGTCAATCGATAAGTTCAGCGGCCTGAACAGCTGGTCACATCTTATACATATCGATATACGGCGCTTTGTATTCATCGTGTGGCATAAATACATCGCATAGCGCTCAGCAACACTGGCTAACCGATAGCTGGCCAACTCTCGTCACTAATCTTTTGTCAGCACATAAACTGTGAAATAAATAAACAAATAATTTAACAATGGCTTCCGATGGCGAGGATATGGATGTAACACCCGTGGAAAGTGAAGTGTCTGCCGCAGAAACTGAAACAGAAGCAGATGATGCGCACTTGCCGGAACCCGACACAGACGATGAATGTTTAGAGGTCGAAGAGGTGCCCGTGTCAAATGAAGAAGCAGAAATGGAAGAATTATTGGGACAACTCGAGGATTATACGCCAACGGTGCCCGATGCGCTCACATTACGTATTTTGAATAGCGTAAGTAAAGTGAAGCACCAAATTTATTTGTAATAATATTAATATCATATCCAGTCTGGCTTTGGCTCCGTCGACCCGCGGATTGTGCGCATCATTTCTGTATCAGCACAAAAATTCATCTCGGACATTGCGAATGATGCTCTGCAACATTGTAAAACGCGCACAACAAACATTCAACACTCTAGTGGACACAGCTCCAGCAAGGTATTGCTTTTTAATTGAATTTTTTATAAATAAATGCTAACCAATTATTTTCTGCAGGACAAAAAGAACCCAAAAGATCGCAAGTATACTTTGGCTATGGAGGATTTGGTGCCCGCTCTGGCCGATCATGGCATAACTATGCGTAAACCGCAATATTTTGTTTAATATTCACATTATAATAAATAAATAAATATAAAATTAGCCATAATTCCTATAAATTATGCGTGAGTATTTGTAACTTATCTGTATGCAAATGTTAACAGTTACCGATATCGGTTACTATCGAAATCAAACAAGTTGATTGAGGTCCTATCGACGGCGAACAGCTGTTCAGTGGCAAGAAGCAGCACAAGATGGGAGTGCTTTCGTTTCGTGTTATATTATTTTTATATTTTATTTCCGCGCTTAATAGTTGCAATCAATTGTGAAAAACACCTAAAAACGCGCTTTCAACGTAGCGCGCATTCAATGAGCATAACGGCAAACAGTCGCTGCGCGAAAAACGGACGAAAACAGTTAACGAAAAGTTGAGACAACGACGACCTCCAATACAAAGTGGGAAAAATCGAACTTTGTGCGTGCGTGTGTGTGTGTGTGTAATAATTAATTTTAAGAAAGAAAATCAAATAAACATGAAATGTTTATGCATACAAATTGATTTTCATAAAGTGCAAAGCAATTGAAATGCATCTACGCAGCAATAACCGCTAATTTAATAAACGTGCAGAAAAACAAAACCTGAAAATGGACGTGGAGGAAACGAGCGACAATGGATTCCCGCTGGGCTTTCCAGAAGTGGGCACCTGGAACCGCACACACAATGTGCCGCTGGAGAACATGAAAATCGATGCACCCATGGTAAAAATGCACACACACACACACATACATACATATGCATTCATATTCATATATATGTATGTAAATACATACGTATATGTAGATTTAAGTAAGTGTTGCCAACTGCGGCTTCAAAAAAAAAAGATGAATATTAAATACGGCCAAAAAATAATTGAATTATCTTGCTGAATACAAATTGGCAAGAAATATGGACGTGATTTGTTAAAAAGCTGTCCAAAAAGCTAAAACAGATTAAAAGTTCATCTGTTGCCGGGTCAGCAGGAAGTGTTTGTCACTGCGTAAAAAGCCTAATTTAGCTGGAAAATAGTTGAATTGGCAACGCGTTACATACATGCATATGCATGCATACACACATACATACATGGAAACGTACAATATAACAGCACTTTGATTATTATGGCATGCGTTGAGCGTGAATCAGTCGAGGACGACGCTTTATCAGCGCAGCGCAGTCGACTGCGTAATCTGGCGCTCGCTTCTCGCCTCCATTTCAATTTCTCTTATCAATCAATTATGATGCCTTGGTCATTGACACACACGGAAACGTATTTAGGGCAAGTTATTTGTGCAGTCGATATTTATCGATATACACGATTACTTTCCAGTGGGCGTTCGATAATCAATTAAATGCTGGAAGACTTCTATAAAGAGCGAATTTCTTGCTTAATAAAAATCTAAAATATTTTAACAGCAATAATTTACTAGGCAAGCTAATTCGGATGCCGGCGTGCGCGTAATATAAATATTCAATATTGTACATCGACAGACAGTTGTCGTTTCGATAAATATTCGATAGCAACCCGATTATTAATAACCAATAGTCAATAATTGGCATTTGTTTAAACATATCTATAAATAGTTGATAATAGTTCGATAGTCAATAGTTGGCAACTTTCCAATCGTATCGATATATATTCGATAACAAAATTTCGATATCCACTCGATTGCCTCGAGTACAGAGAAACGCTATTCGAAGTTTATTCAAAAGTCAAGCCAATTTGTTGTGGATGTACAAGCACTTCAGTTACGAAATGATAAATAATCGATGAAGCCAAGTGGATATTCGATAAATATTTATAATCTTCATAACGTATTTATAGAATATTTTTAATACATTCAGATCCGACAATTATTACTCTATTTTAGTGCGATAAATAATCGATAGTATATCGATAAGCAATTGAGTTATGTTGGATATTCAGATATAATTCGATAACTTATCGATTAAGACAAATGGACATTCGATAACTATTAATCATCTCTCTTATAACGAATTTGTAGCATGTTTTAACCATATCCAGATCGGATATTCATTTACTTTTCCATATTTTTGAAAACAATTTTTGAACATAGCAATTAAGCATTCATTTTGCCTTGACAGTAGAGGGGGGAAGTTGTGCCTCATTCATACAATACGAACATTTTAGTCGGACAGCCTTTTGTTTTTACTTATATGAACAAAACGTTCAAAATTCTTTTAAAAAGGGACAGATTTCATTTAAAATCTGTTTTCGCGGTCTTTGGATATCGCCTTCGCTAACAAAACAAAACAGATCGAATAAATCTAATCAAAATATATATATTTCGACCATACGTTAGTTTGTTTTTTAGTATCTGTAGTTAAAAATTTTGGTTAACCTTTATTACCCGATTCGCCCGAAACAACCGATTGCCTCCCGAACACACAGACACACAAAAACACACAGGATACCCACACATTCACACACACCCACACAGTCAAGCACACACACACACACACACACAGACGTACGCTCACAGAATGCAAACATTGAGAGTTTTAATGCGCCGTTTGAAGGACCGTAAATTTCTCCAGAACAAGTCATGCGTTAATCCAGGCCGTCGCTATACGAGCAGCAGCCTGCCCAATTTCATACTGGTCGATGTGGATGAGCAGGAGGATGTCGAATCGGAGGATAATCTGGGCATACATCCGTTCTATCCAATATTGGGCAATCGGTATTCGGATCTGTTCTATATGCCGCAGAGCGTTGGTCCCGCCTATCAGGATCTGTTTACGACCGCCGATCAATTTGATCTAAGTAAATATCACGATTCCATGGCCTGGAACGGCATTCAGCCGATCAAAGCCCAGGTTGTGCGCTGTCCGAAGCTGCTGTTGCCCCACATGAAGCGCCTCTTCACAATACCCTGCTCCAAGCTCAAGGATCCCGTCAACTTTAGCATATTCAATTTGTATTTCGACAGCGATGTGAACAGCGCCATCAAGGCCTTTGTGCTGATCGCTTCGCAGTATTCCGTCGAGTTTATGCAGGATGGCTATTGGTCGGACTTTGTCAATCCATTTACGGGCCGCGCCTATTTCCGGCCGGCCGCCCGACGCAGCCTGCCCAGCCAGGAGGCCCGTTGCCTGGGCCACAACATGATCTTCAAGGACGTGCACGGCTGCACCGTCATCAAGGAGGCCAAAAAATGCACCTTTGCCGGCGCCATATTCAGCGATGTGCCGGTCAACTACTTTGATTGATCCAGAATCCATCAATTTTTATTGCAATCCAATGCATTGGCGTGTGTCTCTGTCTTGGTTCCTTGTCCACATTCAAGTTCAGTTTGAGTTTGTCCAAAAAAAAATACGTGTACCAAGTGTTTAATAAATCGGAAGCCCGGCAATGTCTTTATTTGGAAAACCCCAACAATTATTCACTATGGAACTATCCAGGAACAGGTTCATCAATAGAAATGGTGCTAAATTTGATGGGCGGAGAATTTATGTCCCAACTATGAGGGAAAACTAAAATGTGGGTCTGAATCCGAGCTGTCTGAAGTAAATCCAATACGGATTTCATTTGTTTACCTAATGCAATATCTGGTTCAAGCTTTGTGTGTTTCGTTATCAGCGGGAGTTATTCAAGAGCTTGTGACTAACTCGAATTATTTATGAGCATGAGTAATAAGCGTAACAAAGACGTTTACCTCACCTTTATATATGTATATATATATATATATATGCATCGATCTCAGAAACTGAGGGCTAAAAACCTGGGACTTGATATCTGCGCACATTTGGCTGTCATATTAATGCCCTAAGATTTTTAGAAAGATCGTAACGTAAACAGCTGAGTTTAGAAGGAACGTATTTTGCATGGTGGGGGGCTACGGGCAGAAGAGGTTAGCTAGAATGAATGTGGCGGCAGGGTGTCTCATTGTCGGGCACTTTTGAATGCAATTCCTTTCATGATCCGCTTTAAGCCTTTAGCTAAATATGATATCATTTTAGGGGATTTTGCCTGTCGGACAGGCCATTTCCCATCTCTTTATCCTATCTACCTAACACTATATATCTACTATAAATATCCTTGGTTTTTTTTATAAAGAAAATTGTGAATCTTAGTTTCTTGCATATCTAAAGTTCGTAACGCTCTTTCACATAAGACTAAATGAATCTTAAGTCAGCGAAAAGCTAGATATATATATAGTAAGATATATAGTATACTTGCCGGACAGGCTATAAATTTTCCCCAACGGGTTGGTTATTTATATTTCCTAACATCTAACTTATTATTAACTTATAACATCTTTCTTATTATTTATTTCTTTCAATTGTTTTGTATTTTCTTAAATAATTTAGAAAATTAAGATTATTTTAAATTTTTGCTTAAGATAACTTTTTCTCTACTAAAACCTTCCATCCCAGCTGTAGGCTCTGACAGAATTAAATAAATAATATTTATTAAATAATAACAATTTAAATTTGATGCTTGCCTTGCATTGCTTGCTGTATCGATAAACATTCGATAGATAATCGATAGTCAATATTTCCTAGTCGGGCACCTTCTTTTTCTGGCTGGGGTCACAAAAACATTCAGTTTGAACCCTTTGATATGATGCCCAATTAGGGCTCACCCTGGATGCTTGATTCGGATAACTTGCTGTATCGATAAACATTCGATATATAATCGATAGTCAATATATCCAAGTCGTGCACTTTCAAATCCTTCTTTTTCTGGCTGGGATCACAACCCTTTGATATGATTCCTAACTGCGATCCATCTGCAGATTTGGCTGCTCTGCTCGCTGCTGACGACCATCACGTGGGTGACGTACAACAACTTTTACAACTCGCGCGTAATCGGCATGCTGATCACGAAGATAGCGAATCGCTGGTTCATCAAGGGCGCCTACTTCAAGATCGGATCGGTGGCGCTGAATCCTCTCGCTGGCAAGATAATGTTTCGGGATTTTGTGTACATCACCTACGACTACACGATGCGCGTGCAGGATGGCTATTTCATCTTTCGCTGGTGGCGCTCCTACGTGCCCAAGGACGTCTCCGAGGGTGAGTTTTAGCCAGTTGCAAGAGAAATCAAATTTGAAGTCCTTTTTCTCCATTCAGATCTTTCGCACTCGGATACGCGGCTGTCGGTTCAGCTGAACGGCTACGAACTGCACATCTACAATCGCTCGGATCTGTACGACAAGCTGGAGAAGACCTTCGGCCTGGAGCCATCGCTGCTGATACCCACGGACGTGGCGAGCAACGAGGAGCGCAACAAGCTAAAGGAGCACAACATGAACCTGGAGAATGCACGCCAGAACAGACGCGTGAACAGCGTCAAGAATTCGGAGGCCATGCAGGCGACCACCTGGCGTGATCTGATACCCGTCATCAAGATCGACATCAGCTCCGGGCGCTTTGTCTTCGGCAATCGCCTCACACCGACCACCCTGTCCATTTCCATGGAGGAGGCGCATTGCACGTACAGTACCAAGCCCGCGGTCTGTCGACTCGATCATTTCATGCACTTTGTCAAGGCGAAAGTGGAGAATGCCAAGGTGCTCTTCTGTCCCAGTCCCAAGTACACGGGCCTTATCGACGAGCCGCCGCGCTATATGGGCGAGGGTTTTGTGGTCATGATGTCCAACCAAATGGATCTGTATTTCTACATGGACGAGCCGGGCGTGGTGCCCGAGGAGCCCGTACAGATCGTGCTCGCGAACGGCGACGTGGTGGAGCCCTCGCCGCCCGTTTGGGGCATCAATGCGCATTGCCTAAAGGGCACGGACTTCAGCTACGGCCCCTGGGCGGACAGACAGCGAGATCATCTCTACAGATACTTCTATCCATCCGATTGGAAGGAGGCCGAGGTCACGCCCACACCCCAACCGGGCGAGCTGCGCAGCTATCAGTCGTTCGATGTGACGCTGTGCGTGCTGAATGAGGCGACAATTGATATTCTGTTCTCCAAGGAGAAGGAGACGAACGCGATGCACATAACCGTCGGCCCCGCCTCCTATGTAGAGGTGACCATACCCTGGGTAACGCTGCCCGACGGCTATACGTCCAAGATCCAGGGCCAGCTGTTCCATGTGGAGGCCACCACCTCGCTGCAGTATCGCAGCCTGGCCGAGTTCGAGTCGCTGGAGTACAAGGTGCGCATACACTATCCGACCAAGTGGAACGCACCGCAGGACTGGAACATCTCGCTGGCCGGCTGCAAGACGAGCGCATTTATTGTGTATAAGCACAAGTGCTTCTTCCAGGACCTGATCGAAGACTGGGCCAACAAGGCGCGACCCGACATACTCAGCTTTGTGCCCTATACCTGCAACTTTAACATACGCCTGAACGAGTTTGAGATCCTGATGCTGTGCAACGAGTACAATTGGATCGACTGCAGCAGCGCCAACCAGGAGAACAATCATTTGGGCTTCTGCGGAGATGTTTTCGAGATGAGCTTCGCGCTGCCCTTCGATGATTTTCTGCCCAAGACTGTGACGCTCAAGTTTTGGATGCACGGCGAGGGACTCGACTTGAGTTTGTACGTGCCCGAGGTCTCCTCGGTGCGACCCATTGTCCTAGCCATAGACGAGAACGCAAGACTGTTGACCCGCGAGGGCAAGCTGATCCGCCGGCCGGAGCTGTATACTAAGAAATGGCGTAAGATTTGCCAGCGCAGCGCCGGCTGGATTGATTGCTGGGCCGTGCCCATTCTGGCGCTGTCCATACAATATGTATATCATCCGGTGCCGCCGCTGGGACCCGATCCGCAGGCGGACATCACCACGCCTGAGAAGGAGGAGATCCTTCTGAGTCCCATGCGCATACCCAAGGTGCGTAAATCTCCTGTGAGCTGGCAGCAGGCGCAGCAGTCGGAGCAACAGCAAAACCGATTCGATCCGGGCACGCTGACGGCGGATCATGTCACCGTGGAGCTGGAGATCGGCAGCTCCGTGCTGATGGCCTACGGCAATGTGCTGCGCAATTTCATGAGTCTTAAGGAGAACATCTTTGGCGAGGATCAGAACTTTACCGATATGGAGCAGTCAAATGTGAGTCTCAAGGAAACGGGCGTTGCGCCCAATCCCAAGGATCAGCTGCTGGCCAAAGAGAAGGAGCTGGCCAACAAGTCCATATCGGAGACAACGGCGCCCGAGGAGAAGCGCAAACCCTTCGATCCGCGCCTTTATCGCCCGCTGGAGGTCATGGTCTCGGTCATCGTGCATGACATACAAGCGCACGTGATGAAGAACTGCAATCCGGAGGATCCGCCCTGCCCGGTGGTGCTGATCGAGCGCTTCGGCTTCGAGATGAATAAGCGCTATCACGAGACGACGCTGCAGGTGCTCGTCAGTCCGTCGTATCTGCTCACCGCAGATACGCTGCAGCGCCAGCAGCGCGAGCAGCACATCCAGCAGGGCCATTTGCTGCTGTCGGCCGTCCAGGTACGCGGCCATGCCATGTTCAGCAATGAGGGCTGCGCCCTGGACGAGGACACGCTGGAGTATTCCTGGTTGGTCGAGGTGCAGTTGGGCAAGCTGACGGGCAAGCTGACACTGCCGCAGCTGGTGAATGTGGTCACCGGCCTGGAGACCCTAGTGCTGCTCGCCATCGATCCGGAGAACTGCCTGAAGTCGCCGAAGACGGTGCGCAACTGCCATCATGGGGTGCCTAGCAATCTGTGCCCGCACACCAAGGAGGAGAACAAATACAAGTGCCCCTCTGCCGAGGACATCAAGTACAAGATGACGCGCGTCTCGGTGGACGCCGTCGATGTGTATCTTATCGAGAGCGGCACGGCGCTGCATGCCTGGATCTCGCCTATACGGCTGGCCAATTGTAATCTGCACGGGCAGCGCGTCAAGTCAGGCATCTCGGGCCTGTTGCCATCCATTCTGCTGCGCCTGTTCATGCTGCACGCAGGCAATGCGCCCAACAGCAGCTATAATACGAACACGACGGGCAGCAATCGTTCCGGCAAGCTGCGACGCGCCGACCAGGACTCGCTCAAGTCACAGGATGTGCCCAGCAGTGGACACCACAAGGCACCCGGCGGCAAGCGCAGCTCCAACTCCTTCTCGCAGCGTCGCGATTCGCGCGAGGAAGCCGCTCGACAGAGCAAGCTGCGCGACAATGTGACGGATGCGAACGCCGCCAAGCGCACGCCGGAAACGGCAGAGCTCTGCGAGAACTGGGTGGAGGTGGGCTGCACCTCGCTCGGCCCCATACTGCTGGAGGGCGCCTCCGCGCTGCCCATACCCGACCACGAGCTGCATCTCGTTCAGCACAAGTGAGTTTCGTCTGTTAATCTCCTATAGGATGGGGTTGAAATGTGTAGGAGATTCCGTTTATCCTTCAGCCGATCCTTTATTGTCCGTCTGTTTTTATCTGAAGAAGTCCTTTAATATA